TTTTTATTTTATGTGTATGCATGTATTGCCTACATGTAGGTAAGTGCACCTGTGTCGTGCAACTCCTGCGGAGGTTAGAAGAGGCTGTCAGATCCCCTGGGACTGGAGTTACGGACAGTTGTTAGCTGCCATGTGGGTACTGGGATTTGAACCTGGGTCTTCTGCAAGAACAACCAGTGTTCTTAACTGCTGAGCCATCTCTCCAGGCCCCTTCCCTGATTCTAATCTTTCCACCCCCTCTTCCACAATGGTCCCTGAACCCTGAGTGGGTGGATTTTAATATAGGAGTCCTATCAAAGGACTCACACTCTACAGACTCTTTTTCTCTGTGTTTTGGCCATTTGTGACCTTTGGTGTTCCTGGCCCTCTGATGCATGGGGGAGCTTCATTGATGAGAATTGAAAGATGCTTTAGTGTCCTCTTCATCCCTTGTTCTATGTTCCATCTTAGGTATAGAGTTTGCATCCTAGATGTGCCACTTAAACTTAGACAGTTCACAGACAATCTGTGTGTGACCAATTGTGGAACTCTGTAATTATTTCTGTCTCTTGAAAAAGTGTCTTGGGATACTTTATAAATTTAAGAATCCATATTTTACACATAGTAAGAAATTACATTTGCAGTGCTGGGCATGGTGGCATACACCTTTAATCCCGGCACTATGGAGGCAGAAGCAGGTGGATCTCTATGAGTTCAAGGCTAGCTGGGGCTACAAGGATACCCTGTCTCCAAAAGACCAAAAAAAAAAAAAAAAAGAGAGAGAGAGAGAAAGAAATTACATTTGTCTATAGATGTGACAGCCTTAGAGTTTTTTCTAAGATCTATGACCTCTCCAGCTATGTGTATTTGGTTAGATTTACAGTACCAGACATGAGTTTCCTCCCAATGAGTGGGCTTCAAATCCAATTAGGTAGCTGTTGATCACCCCCCAAGATAAAAGTACCACTATTGCACCAATGTTGTTTGCTGTGTTGGTCATTTTTAGGCCTTGAACCTGGGGTTGGGCCATCAATTGATGTTCTCCCTTAGCAGCTTAGTGCTCTCCAAAGCTATGAGAGCTGCCTTCAGGGCAGGTGGCTTCCAGGTCAGTCCTAGCTCCGTTACTCCAAATCCTGTGTCCAAAGTATGTCCTGTCTTCAGCAATAGGGTCTTACCATCAAGTTCTGGGAGGCACTCAAGGACTGTGACAATAGCCTATGTAATTTTGGGGAGTCTCTCGGACTACCCTGGCCAACAACTCAAAGGAAGGTCCCTCCTGTCTGGCACTGTTTCTTGTGCAGTCTTCAGCTGTACTCATGGACTCATGTAGGGGTAGTACATGTGTAATTTTTCTGCAGGTGTTTGGACTAATACCATTCCCTCTTTTTTTTTTTTTTCTTTGTCTTTTTTTGAGACAGGGTCTCCTTGTAGCTCCAGCTGGCCTGGAATTCGTTCCATAGATCAGGCTGGCCTTGAACTCACAGAGATCTGCCTGCCTCTGCCTCTGCCTCCCAAGTGCTGGAATTAAAGGTGTGTCCCACCATGCCCAGCAGGGATGGTTTTTTTTTCTAATTCTGTGAAGTATGTCATGGTGATTGTGATTGGGATTGCCTTGAATCTATGTATTGCTTTTGGTACAATGGTCATTTTCGTAATATTAATTCTTCCACTCCATGAGCATAGGGGTCCTTCCATCTCCTGGGGTCTTCCTCAATCCTTTTCTATCAAGATTTAAAATTTTGTTGTAGAGATCTTTGATGTATTTGGTCAGGTTTATTCCAAGATTTTTTTTTTTTTTTGAGGCTATTGTGAATGGGAGGGTTTCCCTGTACTCTTTCTCTAATTGCTTGTTATTGGTCTATAGAAAGACTACTGCTGGGTGTGGTGATGCACGTCTGTAGTCCCAGCACTTGGTAGGCAGAGGCAGGTGGATCTCTGAGTTCAAGGCCAGCCTAGTCTACATAGTGAGTTCTGGGCTAGCTGGGGCTACAGGGAGACCCTGTCTCAAAAAGACAAAAAAAAGAGGAAGACCACTGATTTCGTAGATTGATTTTTGTGACCTGCCACTTTACTGAACGTGTTGGTCAGTTCTAGTTTTCTGGTGGGATTTTGGGGATCTCTTAGGTATAGTATCTGCAAAAGGGATAATTTGACCTCTTCTTTTCCAATTAGTACTGCTTTAATTTCTCTTGTCTTATTGCTCTAGCAAGAGTTTCAAGCACTGTATTGAAAAAGAGTGGAGCTGGTGGACAGCCTGTTTGGTTTCTGACTTCAATGGGACTGCTTCTCGTTTTTTTCCATTTAGAATGATGGTGGCTGTGGGTTTGTTGTATATGGCTTTAATTATGTTGAGGTATGTTCCTCCAGTCCAATTCCCTTTAGGACTTTTATCATGCATGTTGAATTTTGTCAAAGGCCTTCTCTGTATCTCTATTGAGAGATGTGGTTCTTGTCTTTGAGTCCATTTATATGATTTATGATGTTCATTGACTTGTGTTTATTGAACCATCCCTGCATCGATGGAATAAAGCCTACTTGATCATGGTGGATGATCTTTTTGATCTGTATCTGTATTCAGTTTGCAAATATTTTGTTGAGAAATTTTGCATCTGTGTTCATTACTGATATGGGCTTATAATTTTTTTTTCATGCTGTGTGTTTGCTTGTGTTTTCTCTGATAAGACGGCACCACAAAGCTCTCAATTAGCAAAGTACTACAATCGCAGAAACTTGTAATAGACTCACAAAAAGAAAATATTTTTATTTTCTTATTCCATAAAGGAACACACAAGGTGAAAGTTCTTGACTTAAATGAATAGGATCGTTTCTGGAAACAGGCTCCAGTAATATTAAATCAGAACTCAGGTCTGAACGAGTCGCTGAGGGTTAGAAATCACTTGGGTCCTGGGCTCTCGCAGTGTGGAGCTGGACTCTTCATTTTCTTTTTTTTTTTTCTTTTGGTCTTTTTGAGACAGGGTCTCCCTGTAGCCCCAGCTGTCCTGGAACTCACTATGTAGACCAGGCTGGCCTTGAACTCACAGAGATCTGCCTGCCTCTGCCTCCTGAGTGCTGGGATTAAAGGCGTGCCACACCACGCCCGGTCATTTTCTTTTTAAAAAAACAAAAATTATTTTTATGTATATAAATGTATTGCCTGCATGTATGTGAGTGCAATGCTGCGGAGATAAGAAGAGGGCGTTGGATTCCCCTGGAACTGGAGTTAAGGACAGTTCGGAGCCATCATGTGGGTGCTGGGAATTGAACCTGGGTCCTCTGCAAGAGTAGCCAGTGCTCTTAACCACTGAGCCATCTTTCCAGCCCCTAATTTTCTTTTTTTTGTCTTTTTGAGACAGGGTCTCCCTGTAGCCCCAGCTCTCCTGGAACTCACTATGTAGACCAGGCTGGCCTTGAACTCACAGAGATCCGCCTACTTTTGCCTCCCAAGTGCTGGAACTACAGGTGTGCACCACCACGCCCGGCCCTAATTTTCTTTTTCAGTTGTGTCTTTACCTGGTTTTGGTATTAGAGTGATGCTGGCTTCGTAGAAGGAATTTGGGAGTTCTCCCTTTCTATCTTTTTGAATAATTTAAGTAGTATTGATTGTAGGTCTTTAAATGTCTGGTAGAATTCTGCTGTAAATTCATCTGGGCCTGGGCTTTTTTTAGTCAGGAGGTTTTGTATTACTGTGTCAGTTTCCTTATATGTTATGGGTCTGTTTAAACTGTTGATCTCTTCTTGGTTTAGCTTTGGTGAGTCCCATAATTTTAGATATCCATTTCTTTTAGGTTTTCAAATTTAGTAGAGAGTAGGTTTTTGTTCTGGAGCTCAGAGAGGGCATTGGATTTCCCTGGAACTGGAGTTACAACTAGACAGTTGCCATGTAGGTGCTGGGAATCGAACCTGGATCCTCTGCAGAACCTTAACCACTGAGCCATCTCTCTAGCCCAGCCCCCCCTCCCCCCAAAGGCATGTGCTACTACGCCCACTAAGACACCGTTTGTTTGTTTGTTTGTTTGAGACAGGGTCTCCCTATAACCCCAGCTGGCCTGGATTCCATGTGGAGACCAGGCTGGTCTTGATCTCTGAGAGATCAACCTGCCTCTTCCTCCCAAGAGCTGGGATTAAAGAAGGAAACAGGGCTCTGCAGATACTCAGTCGGACAGGTACTGTCTTCGGATGCCTCTCCATGTTCTTGCCTATTTTCCTGTCAGAAGCAATTGCTTCCACAGCCTTCATTTCCCCCAGAGAGAATCACCCAGCTTGTTCTCTTCTTGGTCAGAGGAGGGCTGCAGTTTTTCGTAATGTGTTCACTGATGTAACACAGTATGAAATGTGACACGGTGGTCACACCAGTGGTCAGTGGGAGAGGAGAGTGTCGTCATTCCTGAGGGGACTTCTCAGTGCTGTAGTGGTTTCATACGAGAATACATATTGTCTGTCCTCTGGATCTTGTGTAGCTGTGATCTCCAGTGAGATCTGATGTCCAGGGATATTCCTGTCACAGAAGGGAGGGTGTGAGTGTGGAGAGTCCCCTGGGATAGCCTAGCCAGGTCAGCCAGGATCTGGAATGTGTAAGCGTTCCTGTGAAATAAAATGATTTCCAACAGTTCCTTAAGGTTTTTAATTTTTTAAATTTTACTTAATTGTGTGTGCGTGTGTGTGTGTGAGAGAGAGAGAGACAGAGAGAGAGGGAGATTGGGGTGGGGGGGCATGCCCATTTCACTTGTAGAAGTCGGCATAACAAGTCAGTTCTCTCCTACCACATGGGTCCTAGGGATTGAACTCAAGTCATCAGCCTTGGCTGAAAGTGCCTTTATCCATTCAACCATTTTGCCAGCCCAGATTTGACATGTAATTCCTGTGAGCTTAAAGTCATATGACCATTTTCCTGCTGATTACTAAAGGAATCCAGAAAAATATCCTAGCTGTGACGATGGGGGACATAATGGACAAGACAGGCTGTGTGCGATGTTCCTGGGGTGCATATGGGGCCTGACGCCTTGCTCTTGATACAGAGCGGCATAGGTTAAGGGACAGCCATGGGTGGTGTGAAGGACCGTTGGTCGTGAGCTGCCATGCCTTGTTGACATGTGTGTGTTACTTCTAGAGAGGAACATAAAAAGCACTCATCTGGGTGTGCCTTCCTGTCTGTCAAGAAGCAGTTTGAAGAACTATCACTCAGCGAATTTTTGAAACTGGACAAAGAAAGAGCCAAGAACAAAATTGTATGTATTATTGGGCCAACGGACAGAGTGCCTGCTCCCTCAGCCCTGAAGAGGCTTCCTCAGGGAGTGCTGTCAGAGCCCTGGGGTGGGTGGGGCCTGTGTGGGAATACAGGACAGACAAGAACTACATGTCCACGTTCTTACATGCTATATTTGCAATCCTATGGGGGACACTCGGGGAGGGGTTTAATGTCAGCACGTTGGGAAGGAGCCAGATGTCCCCGCTCACCTCTGATGTTTAAAGACTGACTGCAGCCAGCCCTGGCCCTGTGTTTGCTTCGATGTAGGGTTAGGACCTACCATCAAGCTTAAGGGTCCTCTTTGGCTTGTCAGTTTGTGCTCCTTTATAGAGACCAGCATAGCATAATTCTGTCTGGGGCTGGAGAGATGGCTCAGCAGTTAAGAGCACTGGCTGCTCTTGCAGAGGACCTGGATCTGGTTCCCAGGACCCAGATGGTGGCTCACGGCCATCTGTGACTAGTTTCAGGGAATCCGACTCCCTCTTCTGGCATCTGTAGGCATTGCATGCACATGATACACATATGCAGGCAAAACATTCATACACATAAAATAAAAAAAAATTATTTCCCCCAAAAGAAGCAGCAGCATTCTGTTTGATACCACACATTTAACTACTGAGGATGACAGTTTGTTGTCAGGAGGAGGGAGGACAGTTAGCAGTTAGTTAAGCATTGTGTAGGCACATGCTCAGGTCTTTTGAGTGGTAGGATGGTGGGCTGGGGAGGGCCTTTCCGGTCACAAAGATAGTGTCAGCCTTTCTGTTCACCAAGTCCTTATCGCATATTAAATTTTCTTTTTGTTTCGAAAGCAGAGTTGGGAGTCAGTAAACCTATTTTAATATGGGCTTTAAGCCCAAGGGTTAAGAGAGGCTCAGAGGGAGTGGCACCCCAGGGCAGGACAGTGGGCTTCTCGAGCAGTCACCACATACTCTCGTTTTTTTTTCTATAGTTATTTGAGAATGCCAAAGCCATTCTCAGCACATGGCTTAGCTCCACCAGGCTGGCCTGCTGGCCTGTTGCATCATCTATTGCTGCTAAAGCAGCTTTGTGCAGGGGAGAGTCAGGAGGGAGCCAAATCCTGGGGAGCTGGGCCAGAGAAGGAGGCTCAGGTGGTCTCTGGTAGAAGTAGGAAGACCAATATTATGCCATGGTCCCACTTTCAGAATCCCAGCGAAGAGTTCATGGCTGCAGGAGGCCAGGAGGAAGATGGTTAGAGAGAGGACCCAGCTGCTGTAGTTGTGGATTTGGAAGACTAGATAGGCAGCAGTCTCTGGAATACATGAGCAGGGAACAAGAGTGGTCAGTACCCTGCCTCGGAGCCTCAATCTGTCCCCTGATGCCTATCATACAGTGTCTGGAACCAGGCTGGGCAGAGGTGTGGATGTCCAGCTTAAGAGGAAGAAAGGCACATTCTTGGAACCAAATTTGATCCTCTGCAAGAGCAGCCAGTGCTCTTAACCACTGAGCCATCTCTTCAGCCCCTAGCCAGTGCTCTTAACCACTGAGCCATCTCTTCAGCCCCTAGCCAGTGCTCTTAACCACTGAGCCATCTCTCCAGCCCATAGCCAGTGCACTTAACCACTGAGCCATCTCTCCAGCCCATAGCCAGTGCTCTTAACCACTGAGCCATCTCTCCAGCCCATAGCCAGTGCTCTTAACCACTGAGCCATCTCTCCAGCCCCCTTGTTTTTTTGAGCCAAGTTCCCCTGCAGCTCAGACTGTCCTAGAACTCATGTAGCACAGGTTGACCCGGAGCTCAGGCCAGAGTCCTCAGCTTCCCAAGACCTGGGATTATAGGCATGGGCCGCTACACCACAGGGTCTGAGCGGATTTTTTGTTTGTTTTTTGAGACAGAGTCTTACTGGATAGCCCTGGTTAGTCTGGAACTTGCTGTGTAGATCAGGCTGGCCTTGAACTAATGGAGATCTGTCTGCTTGTGCTGGGTTTAAAGGTGTATGCTACCATGCTGACCCAAATCTGAATGTTTTTTAGTTTTGTTTATTGAAACATTTTTGAGGTAACTGTGGAGTGAAGGGATCCCTAAGGAAGAAAACAGCTCTGTGTACGTTTTAGCCAGTGCTCTCCACATGGTAACATTTACAGAGTTAGATTACCTCTTTCTTTGGTGGTGGGACCCAGAGCCTTGCACATGCTGAACCACAACCCCCAGCCCTTAGAGTAGTTTTATTTTCTCCCACCCCATCCTCACACCCCACTGCTGCTTGAACCCTGGGCCTTGAGCTTATCAAAAGCTGTACCTCTGAGCTACACCCCGGCCCTTGTTTTTGTTTTTCTTCCCTAGAGTGATTTTTGTCTCTAGAAGTTCAGTTGGGTGCTTTGCAGTTTCTGTGGGGCACAGGTGAAGGCACACTGGGCTGTAGGAGAGAAACAGAAATGATGGAAAACCTCTCGGTACCTGGACTTGGCCAAGTTCAGTGTCAGAGCCTGGGTGCCCAGGACCACGTGTGTGGAGTCACTACCATACTGGCTCTCGGGGGAGGCGAGAAGTCCTTTCTAGAGAGTCAGTCCTCCCAGGGCTACATCTGCAAATGGCCGGAGCCTCCCCTGGCCCCAGCATAGCCCAGCACAGAACAAAGCCACTGCCACGCATCAAATCTGAATGCTCATAAAGCCGTAGTCATCTTTGCACATTGGTAAAGGTGTGGCTCTGAGGGTCTGGAGTGCCCATCGCAAGGAGAGCCAACCACTGTTTGACAGGACTTCCTTAATTTCCTCTTCCCCACATTATTTTTTTAATGATTTCAAAATTTTTTATTTGTACAAGTGTTTTGTTTTTTGTTTTGTCTTTTTGAGACAGGGTCTCCCTGTAGCCCCAACTGGCTTGGAACTCATTATGTAGACCAGGCTGGTCTCAGTCTCACAGAGCTCCGCCTGCCTCTGCCTCCCAAGTGCTGAGATTAAAGGCGTGCTACTACATCCTACTTTGTACAAGTGTTTTGATTGCTGGTATCATTATTGATATGTGTATAGTGCCTGTGAAGGTTAGAAGAGGGTGACAGAGCCAGAGTCTCCATGTGGATGCTGGGAGTTAAACCCAGGTCTTCTGGAGAACTAGTAAGTGAGCCGTCTCCAGTTCCTCCTGTCCGATTTTTAAAAAAAATTTTTCTAGGCCTGGCCTGATGGTACAGGCTGTAATCCCAGCCAGGTTTTTGTTTTTTTTTTTTTTGACTGAAAAAGGATTGAAAGTTAAAGCCTAGCCTGGTGTGGTAGCCTTTAATTCCAGAACGTCAGAAGCAGAGGCAGGTAGATCTCTGTGAGTTCGAGGCCAGCCTGGTCTCCATAGCAAATTCCAGCCAGCCAAGGCTACATAGTGAGACTCTGTCTCAAAAAAAAAAAGGGCTCAAGAGATGGCTGTAACTGCAGTTCCAGGGGATCCGACAGCCTCTTCTGTGGGCACTGCAGGACACGGGTGCACTTACCTACATGCAGGCAATA